ATGAAAGATCTGAAAAAGACATTTCTGAGGACATAGAATAAAAGATACTTTTGTAATTGCATGTCTAATTTCAGCTCATTACTCTCTCATCATCTTTTAACCTTTGTATCTTCATACTGGGAAAGGAAAAGATTTCTTGCCATATGAAGTCAGTAACAAATCACTTGCACTGCTGGTGAAATTCTCTCTCTGTTCTCATTTGTTTGTACCACAAATACAGAATAATTTGAGGACCAGACAGTACTAAAATATTAACATCCTATAAGCTCAGATATGCTTGTGTAAACTAAATGCCAAACAATAATGTATAAACTATCACACAAATCACTGTGGCTTCATGAATAACTGCAAAGAAGAAAAAAAAAAGGTCCAAATATAATGAAGTCAGTTCTCAAAGAGAAACACGTGATACCTTCTCCATGCAAAATCTATACATGAAAATAACCCCAAGCTCCTTAGATCAGAAAAAAAAAATTAGAACTGGTATGGACTTAATATGTTAAAGTTTGCATAAAACTTCTAATACTGTGCAAAGGTTAAACATTGTTATTAATTCAAAATGAAATAAAATCTAGAATGAAATGATGAACTCAATACCAGATTTTAGTACAGTTTCGTTTGCAAGGCACGTCACCTTGCACAGTGTAGCCCTGATCTCGGCAGCTGTGGAGACTTGAATTGTGCTTTGGAATATCCTTTCCTCCCCCACCCAAAAAGCAAGCTGTTTCCCCCGAACAGCAACCATCTATCCTGTCACATGCAAATACTCTGCCTTGGTATTCAGAGAGACATGCAGCTGCTATAATTTTCTCTAGCAAAAAGCCACTGCTATGGAAGCTGCTGGCCCCTCTATCTTCTCCATGTCACAACAGCAGCCTCCTAGCTAGACTGTCCTGGGCAAGAATCAAGGGAGAGGACAAGGCAGAGGGGTGCAATGACTGCTGGCGCCTGGCTCCTACTGCAGAGGAGGCAGGCAGCACTGCTGAAGAGCAGCAAGTCTCCCCAGCAGCAGCTGCAGCTCCATGCATCCCATGAGCAGATACAGGGGGCATTCAGCTGTACCGTGAGAGGACGTAGCCTGAAGAGCCATTCTGGATGGCTCTCAGGAAAAAGAGAAAAAGGAATGTAAACTGGATGTTCCAGTATTGGTTTTCTGTTAGAGAATGGAGTTATGACATACTCATTTCCTGAATTTAAGCTGATGGGAGTTGCTGGATATATTTGGGAATATATAAGGTGGGAAAAACCAGAAACAGGATCTTGGATGAGCTAATTTAATCTTTCTTATCACATCAGCAATCCTGTTGCAAACAATGTTGGACTATTTCATTGCTTCTTGATTGGATGCAGAAAGGAATCAACTTTATAACACAAAAGATGCTGCTTCAGGAGATTAATACTAAATTGAATCAGGCAAAGATTGCAATCACAGCCCTGGACACTACATATGAACAGATGGTAGCCTATGTTAATAACTTGGAAGGCAAGACTGGCATAGCAGAATGCAATGCATTTTAATGAACTCCATTAAAACCATGAGGATCGAATGTGACCATATTTAAGGGCTTGCTCCTAATCTTGTAGAATTCAAAGCAAAAAAATTTATGCCATTAACAACTAGAGAATCAAACTCAGTTTGTAGAATATCCATGGAAAGAATTAATGATTTAAAAACGAGCAAAGCTGGAGAGAGAAACAGCATGCTGATCTATATTTTGTGACTAGATTTATTGGGGTTCCTGTTTAGGAATGAAACCATAGAAGGTGAAATTATGTATATTTATAATAATTTATAATTAATTTCAATTTCCTTTAATTATTATTTATACACAGGAATTGTTTCACTACTGATTCTGGGAGTGACTTAGAATTTCTAATGACACAAATGGCATTTACTTTCCTCAGAAAGACAGTATCCACAGCAACACAGAGATGACACCATATGCAGGCACTGGTTTGGAATAGACATAGAAAGTCAAGCGCCTCCTAGTGAGTCCTCTATATGTCTCTCTGCAGAATTAGGATATTAACATTAATATTTGTTTTAAAGTCCTGATCCAGCCCAACTATCCACACTTCATATATTGTATAATTAACCCTTTCTCAAGAGCTTCCTGTTCTATTCTTTACAACCAAGAAACAAACCATGGCTTGATTTGAAGCTGCCTTTTGAGTAATCACTATGCTCTACTTAGCAAATAGAGTGAATTATCTTTTGTGAATTATCATGTTGCAGTACAGAATGTTTATAGTTTAATGGCTAAAACACTATAAGCACCGGGGTGCTCAGGGATATGCGTGTGTGGTGCAGAGTATAACTATACATTCAAAATTATGAAACCATGACAATATCATGGCTATTAGAAATTCTTCTTAATCTGTGCTAGTTATCTGTAAGTGCAATCACAACGCTGAGTTGCTGAACAGCCATCTTCTGACACCTGTTCCTGATTTACAGCCTCTCCAGATATAAGGTTGTTCTCCCTGATGTAACCAGGAATATATTCTAACCCAAAATAGTGGCTTTCATTTGGTCTTTATGCTTCTCAGCTCTTGGTAGCTTTTGACTTCATTGATCACTCTCAAAGGATGATCTCCTGCCTAACATTAGCTTTCTCAAACTTGTACTTTTGATTCACTCTGACATGACTATAGAACATCACCTTCAAATATTAGTTTGAACATCTCTTCTACGCACATCTTAGATTTGTTTTTTCATGTCTTCTGTTGTCATTCTACATATTATAATCACCGCTCCTGTAATTCCTTCCTTCCTTCCTTTCTTCCTGTCTTTTTCTTCTGCTGTGCTCAGTGTGCAAATGCCACTTTCAAATAATATAATTAACAAAATAAAGTAACATAACAGCAGATGCACAAAATAATTCTTCCATTAATAGCCCTTCCAGTCATTCATCTTTTCTCTCTTTTTCTTTATCATCATAAAAATCTATAGTATCAGCAAAGTACCACCACACTGATATTATCACATTAGATATTCTGGAAAAAATAATACAGAAATTAATCTTCAAATATTCCTTTTTTTATCCTTTATGCCTGTTGAGTTGCATTGTTGTTTAAATCCAACCTCACACCTACTTTCACCACTGACAGATTTGATCTGTAGTTAGTACCAGGCTTGATTGAAGACTGAGTTTTGCTTACCTAAAATTCACAATTGGCTATTTCTGCTACTGTGGAAGTAAAAAAAATTGGCTAGCACTATAAATCCTTTCTTTCTCTGAATAACATTTTTTTATAAAAGGATGAGAAAAATTTCATATTGCTTTTAAAAAACAGTGCTCTATATTATAATTCCTTTCACATCATCTTGGGGCTGACCATGAGATTATAAACTGCATTGACTGCTTTACAGTTGGTTTCTGATACACTTTTTCTTTATTTTTTTATTTTTTTTTCCTTCTGGAGAGAAACTCTGTAAAGATTGTATACGTACGAGACCAACAGGATGCATTTTATTACTTGTCTTACAATGCAAAAAACTAGTTTGCTGATCAAGTTCAGATTTGTCCATTTAGTTTCCAATTAATCTTAGCTATACTCTTGATGTCAGATGGAAACTAAGATTCTCTTGCATTTCTCTCACATTTAAACCTGAAATCTGCTTAATAGGTAAAGACAATTAGTGAAGTTCAGCTAACGCCATCATTTTTTGTTCTGCAAAAATAAATGCTAGTTAGGGAGAGTTTGATTAACTTATTTTCAAGAGTCATGATTTTAATAATGATCTAAAAGTTTGGGTGAATATATGTATATGGGCTGGCAATATTTCTATCACGAATTAAGACTATTTCCTTAATCCCTTCTCTTCAGTATTTTTAAAAAAAATTCATGCAGGTATTTTTACTTGAGGTTTGTTTTTTTTTTTTTTTTTTTTTTAGATCTGAAAACGTGAGAAAAAAAAAAAAAAAAAGTATATTTTACCTATGGTTAACCACAGTACTATCTTAAAGAATAAAAGGAAACTGCATTTGATTCTGTTGGAACTAGAATGAATACAACCTGCCTTTTGAACACAAAAGGGTTTAATTATCTGTGTGTGTTTTCTCCATAACTTCATTCTGTAAATGTTTCTTATGGGCAAGTTAGCAATTTTCAGCTAGTAAGAAAATATGGAATGCGTACAATGCTCTCTAGCAAGTATATTTATGGTTCTTTGGACATTGATGATTTTGTCAGATTTAGACAATAAGAAGCAGCATTTCAAGTTACAGTTCTTTTGACTCCTTCTTCCACAGATAACTTCATATAGTCGCAGTACAATGTTTTTCTTCCTTTCCTTTTTCACTAACTGTCATGGTTTAACCCCAGTGAGCAACTAGAGCACCACACAGCTGCTCGCTCCCCTTCCCACTCCTGGTGGGGTTGGGCACAAAATCTGAAGGGTAAAGGTGAGAAAACTCGCAGGCTGAGATAAGAACAGTTTAATAATTGAAATGAAACAATAATAATAGTGAAAAGGAAAACAACAAAAAAAGAGAACAAACGCCCAGGAGAAACAAGTGATGCAACGGCTCACCACCCGCCGACTGATGCCCAGCCAGTCCCCAAGCAGTGATCACTGCCCCACAGCCAACTCCCCCAGCTTATATACTGAGCATGACGTCATACGGTACGGAATAGGCGTTTGGCCAGTCTGGGTCAGCTGTCCTGGCTGTGCCCCCTCCCAGCTTCTTGTGCGCCTGGCAGAGCATGGGAAGCTGAAAAGTCCTTGACTGGTGTAAGCACTACATAGCAACGACTAAAACATCAGTGTGTTATCAACATTATTCTCATACTAAATCCAAAACACAGTGCTATACCAGCTACTAGGAAGAAAATTAACTAACTCTCTGCCAAAACTAGGACACTAACGTATGAAACATCTTAAACAAATTTATCAGAAAACTCTTACCACCCACAGAAATCTGATGTCAGGTGTGATTTGCAGTGGCAATCAGTCTTGGTGAACTCTAGTGTAATTGATAGTTTATTCTAATTACCTTCCAGAGCATATTTCATGTCCTGGGCAAACAGAGTCCACATGATTTCAGCACTGATTTTTCCCATGTTCAGCTCTTGAGGGAACCTGCAATCAATCACATTACATCAGTTCACCTGCTGCTAGAAATTATGCTTACAGCTGCACAGCAGAAAGGCAAATATTTCCACAAAATAATTCCCCTAGTATGTACTTACTGTATTTTCTGTTTTGTACAATTATATGAACCATCCAATCTTCAAATAAAAACTTCCCTTAGTCTAATGTCAGGGGTCTAACTAATTAGTTGAATGTTGCATCAATTCCCTCACATGACATTTTAAATCAAGAAACATCCATCTGTCTTGCAGATAACTCCTCAACTTCAGGTAAATCAGATGGCTTATGAAAAACCTGAAACAGTTGGCTCAGATGTTTAGCAGCTACAGGTTTTCCTTAACTCCCTTATTATACTGGAAAGTAGTGAAGTCTGTGAAGTTATATTGGTTTATACTAGTTGAATCCAATTCACTGTTTGAAGACTTACACCTTGAAGTATGGATAAAAACAGTAAAGAATATAAAAGGTAGAAAAATGCATACTTTTGATTAAAACCTTTAGTTTTGGTCTTATGCTTCATGTCATCTTTGAAAAACAGTCCTTTTTTAGATATTGTTTGTTGTTATCAAGTATTTTTCCACAACTTTTTCATAGATCCCAGGTGCTTCTTATTCTATGTAAAAGAAAACCTTTAATCTTTCAGTTACCATCTTCACTGTTAGCTACTAGCAAAAGCTGACATTCTAGTGAAAGACACTGCATGTTTCACATCATATTTAAAAGGAAAGCTATTTGTCTGTCCTTTTTTAAAAAGAAAAAAGCAAAAAAAAAAAGCCTGTCCTTACTGCAGGTGTGGGACAGACATTAATATGAGCAGTTGTCAGGGTACAGAAGTAGACCACAGCAGGTCATGCAGCTTGGGAGCAGGAAGTATTTCACAGAACCTCTGCGTGGTGAAACTACAGTTTGTACTACAGCGGTGCAGTGAGAGCCATACGAATACGCTAGTGGTTCACCATGAATACATAAAATCATCAAAGACCATATCCATGAGGAAACACACAGAGCTGTGTGGCTTTTGTCTTGAGTATATTACACCACTTTACAGTAGCAGAGAATTTGATCCAAATTGAAATTTGCTTTTATTGAAGCACTAATCAAATTCAGGAAATATTTTATAATAATTTTTGTAAAAATATAAGAATTTTTAAAGTTCTTTTTGCCAAAGAAAGAATGAGAATGATGTGCAGCTTTAAGGTGACAGCAATATAATCTAAGTAATGTATTCTTTCCAGAATTCTTTACAGGGACATATCTGACCCTGATCATATCTACAAAGAAAAAGTACTTAAACAGCTCATTAGCTCTGTCACTTTAATATGAAGCAATTGCTAGCTCAGATCACTGATATGCCTTCATTATGCTAATGGCTGCTCAATTACAGAATGTTGTATTAATTCTGTTAACACAAAATTAATTGTTGTTCAAAAGCTCAAATGTATTTTAACTATAACTGTCTTAATTTCTTTACCTCCAGTCCAGTCTGAGTGCTGTCTTAGCACCACACTTGAACCTTGACAATGTTGCTCTGAGGAAATATTTAGAAGTTCATTTAATATTGACACTGTCTTTTGTCCATAGTGCAAAGCTGGTCATAATGCAAGGCTGAGTCTGATAAAAATGCATTTGTTTGATTAGTGGTACATTTATGTGTATACATTTTAACTTGTGAAAACACATGCACACACAAACTACAATTATCTTTTCACCACGTTGCTTGAATTTTTGTAGTTCTACACAGTATCCTTGATTCATCAGTTAGGTACCTAAAGTTGGCACCCAGAGATATCAACTTCTGTGTCCCTGAGAAATATAAACTTAATGAATAACCACCAACTGGACATATCAATGAAATCCTTCCATCCAGTGCCTAGACTATGGGTATTTGCAATTTTATCATTTACAGGGATACATTTTTGCATACAGCCCTGCAGGACTGACTGCCATTCCCATACATTTTATCCAACACAGTGACCTCTTAGCAGGAGATTACTGTGACAAAAACGATCAGACAACAGAAATCCCTCTGTATTTTAGCACAAAACTTTTACGTTTCACATGTAATAAATTTGCTTCATGACAGCTATGATACCTGTAGGTGTATTCATCAGAGACTCAAATAATAGATTTTTAAGTTGTCCGAGGTAGGTTAGTAATGTAATGTGGATGGTTAACCTAATCAACATTTTCAGCCAGTGAAATTGATTTAACATGCTAATGAACTAGGTATCTAATATGCTTGTAGATCTCATTGTGTTGTGATATTAGCCATAAAATACACTTCTACAAGCATTAAGATGCTTGGAAATGACATCACATAGCTTGCCAGGGTTCAGCTAGATTTAATTCATGAAAGTTTCCTACAGTTTAATAGTTTGACTTCCAGATAATTTAATCCAGATTCAGAAAGTAAAACTACTTGCTTACCACATTATAATTACAGAGCTCTGGCTTCAGCACTATTCCAGCCCCTCCTCCACACAATGATACCATTGCTTTTCCACTTTTTGCATTTATGAACAACACTCATATCAGAGTTGGTGGTAAGTGGAATCCCATAAGCAAAGTAAACTTCCAGTTTTCAACACTTCCTTCACAAGCTTGAATGTTTGCTACTGCAGCTGCACCCAGCTCAGACAGTGCACAATAGCAAGTGTGACAAACATTGTTTTCACACATTAGAAATAACCATTTCACATCTGATTCATGGCTTTCTTTTATCCTGTCATTCATATGAATTGTGTTGACAGAAGAAAATAAGCTTTATTCCATTACTCTGCTCTGCATTCTTTATCCTGTTCACTGATGTACAGCAATTTGAGACAGTACAACATCTTGTACCACGAAACTAATTAGCCACAAGCTGCTTATTAAAAAAAATTACTACTTACAAACATATTTCAGAAATAAATAGCTCTTATCTACCATTGTTAAAATTCCTTTCGTATACATACTAACTATAATGGTTGAAAACTGAATTGCATGGAGACATTAAAGCTGTATGATGTAGACAATTTGATTTTAAATTTTTCAAGTATTCTTAGTTTACAGAGGATTGGACAGAGATTATCAGAGTGTAATTGATATAGCATTTCTGCATTAATTACTTTTTGTTAAATGGAATGTAAGATCTAAATAATTTTAAATTTTTCAACCAATTTCTGCATTTGCTAACATCAAAATTCTAGGATTAGATTTTCCCCCTTGGTATCCATTTACGTTTATCTAAGTAATATTTATGCATAATTTCAGTTAGCTATTCTTTTAATGAATATTGTACAAAGTGTACAGGATTGACAGAATATATCATGCATTCAGAAGATTTGCTCTGAACATCAATGAAGAAGAAATAAAGCGAAGACCTGTGTCAAGAAGTATCACAGAATTGTGATGGAGTAAAATTTTATCCTTAACTAGAAAGGCTATAATATTGTGGCTACTATTTCAACCTTTAGCTGGCCAGGATAGCAATGATGACTGTGATACACTCTTTAGGCATCCAGTATTGACCACATGGACAGGAGACCGGACGTTGTTTTGAGCTAATGCAGCTATTGTTATAGAATTTTTGAACAATTTAAGCTGGAATGGACATCTGAAGGTCATCTAGCTCCAAGCAGAGAGAACCCCGAAGTTATATCAGGTTGCACAGGGCCTGTACGGCTGAATTCTGACTACCTCCAAACATTAAAATGACACAGCCTTTCTGGGTTACATAGTTTGGTGTTTGACCCCTCTCACTGTGGAATGTTGATTTGCTCCTGTATAGCTAATATGAGTTTCCCTACCTGAAAATTGTGCTTGCGCCTCTTACTGTGCACTTCTGGAAGTGGTCTGGCTCTGTCTTTTCCTTATAATATCTCATTAGGAAGCCGAAGAAGGCAATCAGCACTGCCCTTAGCTGTGTGTCCCTCAGGCTGTACGAACTGCTCCCTCAGCTTCTCCTCACACATCATGTGTTCCTTCCCCCTAATCTTCATGGTTGTTTTCCACTGTAGTTCTCCAGTTTGACAATATCTGTCTCGTACTGGGGAATCAAAACTGGAAATGACCATCCAAATGCAGTGTCACAGGCTCTGACCAGAAGGAAGTAATCACTTCCTTCAATCTGTGGGCTATGGTCTTCCTAATGCAGCACAATATGTTATTATGCAAAATATAACTCTAGACTACTGCACATCTGCACTAGCAGCTTTATTTATGGGGGTAGCAGGATTTGGTGTCTTCTTAAGGCCCTTAAATTGCTAAAACGGTAGCTGAGCTTTTCATAGTACCGTGTTTTGATTAACATTCCTCTGTTGCATGAAATTTGTTTTAGTAATAAATGTCATGGTTTATAAGAGCTCCTTTATCAAAGCCTGAAAAGAGGCAATTAAAAACATCCCTGGAATAAAAAAAAACAAAAACAAACCACCCCAACAAAACCACAAAACCAAAACTTTAAGATCTCTGTAGATAAAAAACCAAATTGAAATCCAAATGACCTCCTAATTTCTTATTCAAATCAAACAATCACTTATTTTGAATATAAACCCAAGAGAAATCCATTGAAATAGGCATTTTAAAACATGTCAAATTATCTACAAAAGTCTCAATTATCCACTTTGTTTACATTTGACAGAGTTCCTATGCAAGTGTGAGCATACTAAACTAGATCTCAAGAAAATAAGTTAAAGCCTTGTAGAACTTCAAACAGGCAAAATTTTTATGTACTTTGTTAAATGTAGCGCACCAGAAACAGAAGCTTCCTTCCACACTTCTCCCAAATGTGTTAGAAGTGAGGCTCTTCATTCAGTTAAACCCCCACAGTATCTAGCAGTGAAGCTGGTTCAGCTTTACTAATTGTAGCAGAGGTGGTACCTTTCAAGCAGACAATGTTTTGGATATTTGTTATACCACATCCCAGACTGTGCGTTGATGGGCTTGGAGCAAAAGTCCATTCACCTCTGTGCTGCTGGTAATGCAAGATATCTTCCTCTTTCAGCTAC